TTATCTGATGTGACTGATTTTCTAACTGGAGGACTCCCTTTAGTATTTCTTGTAATTTTGGTTTGGTTTTTGCAAATTTCCTAAACTTCTGTTTATCTGGAAATGCCGTAATTTCACCATCATATTTGAGAGACAGTTTTGCTGGATATATAATTCTTGGCTGGCAGGTTTTTTCCTTCAAGGCTTTATATATATCATCACATTGCCTTCTTGCCTGCATGGCTTCTGCTGAGTAGTCCAAGCTTATTCTTATTGACTCTCCTTTGTAGATGACTTTTCATTTTTCCCTAGCTGCTCTTAAAATTCTCTCTTTATCTTTCGTTTTGGCAAGTTTGATTATAGTATGTCTTGGTGACTTTCTTTTGTGATCTACCTTATGTGGGGTTCAATGAGCATCGTGGATAGATATCTTGTCATGTTTCATGATATCAGGGAAGTTTTCTGCCAACAAATCTTCAACAATTCTCTCTGTATTTTCTGTTATCCCCCCCGGTCTGGTACTCCAGTCACTCATATGTTATTCCCCTTGATAGAGTCCCACATAATTCTTAGGGTTTCTTCATTTTTTTAAATCCTTTTATCTAATTATTCCTCAAATAAGTTGGTGTCAAGTGCTTTGTCTTCAATCTCACTAATTCTGACTTCCATTGCCTGAATTCTGCTCCTATGACTTTCTACTGAGTTGTCTAATTCTGAAATTTTATTGTTAATCTTCTGGATTTCTGATTGCTGTCTCTCTGTGGATTCTTTCAGCCTGTAAAATTTGTCATTATGGTTTTCTCTAATCTTTTTAATTTCCTCTATTGTGTGTTCTGCATTTTGCTTAATTTCGTTCCTAATTTCTTGAAGAGTTCTGTGTATTAGTCTTTTGTAGTCTGCCTATAGTAGTTCCAAGAAATTTTCCTCCTCTGGAAAATTTCTAGATTCTTTATTTTGGGAGCTTTCTGAAGTCATCATGGATTGCCTCTTTACGTGATTTGATATCGACTGTTGTCTCCTAGCCATCAATAAATTATTTTATTTATTTTATGTTTGCTTACTGTGTCCTAGCTTCTTGTTTTGTTTTAATATGCCCAAACAGGCTGCTTGTATGAGCTAGTTTGATTACTGGCATCTTTGAAGCGCTAATGTCCTGTCACCAGGTGGTTAGATCTGTTACTAGGTATGTGAGCTCTGGAATCCACCCACTCCTCCTGTATGGATTCAGCTCAGGTGCCTAGACAGAAAGCCACCAAGTGTGTGGTGTAGGCTCTCACAGTCCTAGACAGGCATGGGTGATTGGTGTAGGCAAAGGCATCTGGCTGTAGCAGTGGGACACACACTGAGTAAGGCAGGGTGCTGACAGCCACCCCTGAGTGTGCAGGAGGAAGGCATGTCCCTGTTCCCCAGAGTGCATAGGTGGGTGGGTTTTGCAGCCAGACTATGAGCAGTTAATGCTGTTGGCTGTAAGGACTGGAGAGCACCTCTTATCCATGGGCCCCTACTGCAAGTGGCTAGGTGGCGTGGGTGTAGCCACCAGTCCTCAGGCCCCTGATGTGGGTAGGTGAAGACCCTGCTTAATGGGCAGAGCAGTGTCAAATGTCAAGAACCTGCCACTTCACAGCTGAAACAGTTGCAGTTAGAGTTTTGGTGTATACCCTGCTGTGTTGCTGTACTGAGGGCCTACGCAGCTGAGATGGGCCCACACAAGTCTATGCAGGGGGAAAGGCACTCAAAGTCCTTGGATCCCTTATGCCTGTGCCTAGGCAAAGGAGCTGTGCCTACCCTGGGTTCCTGGCTTAGGGGAGCCAGCCGTTTATTTTTTCCTCTGTTTGTTAATTTATTCACTTTCCAACGCAGGGAGAATGGCTCTGGGTGTGCGATGGATCCTCCTTCTGGCCCAGGAGACTCAGCCATTGGTGAAGACTATCTGGGACCCAGTGCACAGCAGGGAGCGGGCAGGTAAATGGGAGAGAGGTTTTTCCCTACAGGGGGGTGTTTTTGATCCACATGATAAGCCGTATGGGAGTTCTCATCTTTCGTAGAGGGCTGCCTCTCATTGGTTCTGCGTGGCCAAGTTGACTCTCAGCAGCTCGGTCTCTTGGTGCGGAATACGCCTCTCGTGCATGGCTGCTTGCCTGCCTCACCGTTCATCCCCAAGCTGATCAGGCCTGAAGGGCTCAGGCTCTTGCCAGGTCAGGTCTGGCAACTCCTCTCTGTTTCTGAACCATTTCTCCCTCCCCCTGCCACTCAGTCTGGTTCCTCAACTCTGTGTTTGATGTTCAGGGCTCCCAGACTGCCATACATAATCAAATCAGTTGTTTTTTCAGGTCTTTGTTATAAGAGGGTCCACTGGAAGTGTCTGACTACTCCACCATTTTGTCCCCACCTCCTCCAGTGTAGGCTTTTTTGTACAGCAAATTAGCCACTCTACCCAATTTGGAATGATTAAGGCTTGTCCTAGTTTCATTTGTTTTACTTCTAGCATGCTAAAAAATAGGATGAAGAAAATATGACAGAAGGCATCATTCCAGTACCAAGACTGAAAAGAAGCACAAAAACAAGGGAGAGCATGTTTTTGACAGCTTGCGTGGAGAAAGTGGAAAAAATATTGACTGGGGAATTTGGACAGCACTGTTCATTTTCTCTCTCCGCCTGCGTTGTCTTTTAGAGCAGGAGTCAGATACACTAATTCTGGCGGGGAGGGGCCAAGTCCTTTTTTCTCCAGTCCCCGGGCCCCCTCTTGGGCCAGTCTGAGGCCTAGGAGGGCATAGTATGGCTCACTCAGGTATACAGGTCCCTGGCCCCTTCAGATCACAAGGAGCAGAGGGAATCCTTGCCCCAGCTTCTTTCGGCTCTAACTGCACTTTCAGCTCAACCTTCTTATGGAGTTCCTAACTACAATTTCCACAACTGGGGTCGGGCGGGAGCCTCCACCACCCGAGGAGTGACTTGCTTGCATGCCTCCACGGAGCCCACGAGGGCTTTAGCCCCGCCTCCCTGGGAGCGGGGCGTGGCTTAGGGGCGGGGACTGGTCGCGGAGCCTGCGGCGGCGACCAGGGGGAAAAGGAAGAACATGGCGGGTGCGTCGGAGTCCGCCGGCGGCCCGGGGGCAGCGGGCGGAGATGGAGACGATTCGCTATACCCGATCGCGGTTTTAATCGACGAGCTCCGCAATGAGGACGTGCAGGTACTGGGCTCGGGCTGGGAAGCTGAGGCGGGGCGGTCGGGCGCGTGGTAGGGAAAGGGGAAGGCTGGTGCTGCGGTGGGGGAGGCCCAGGCATTCAAAGAGCCGGGCTTGAAGCCGAAACTTGAGGAGGGAGGAGGGGAAAGGCCAGTGAGAGGTTGTGGTGTCACCACTCGACCCTCCCGGGGACCTCTCCTGTACCCTTTCTCCCTGTTCTCTGAGCCGCGTCGGCCCGGCCCCCGACCTCATCCAGGGCGGTTGTCGACAGGCTCCTAGCCTGGACGCCCCTTCTGGGCCGTGCGGTGGGAAACGCCGCGTCTAGCCCGGGGCCGCCGTCCTCGTCGACTGTGGAGCCCAAGGGGCCGGAGCTGGCTGACAGGCGCAGGACGCCAGGGGGCCGTTTGAAGTGCTGGTGATTTTCCTGGCAAGCTGGAAACTGACAGGGCTTGTTGGATAGAACGAGAGCTGGATGGCTGATTAACCTAGGTGAGTCGGTGTATCACCCGTGATGGAACTTTCTTTGAAAAGTCAGAGGTTGAATTCAGCCATTTCACCTGGTTCTCTACTGCCAGAGTTCTCACTTACAAAAGTTGTATCACTTCCTGGATATTGTGTTCTTTTTCATTCATTTCTCTTCTGGGCTCTTCAGAGTGTTTCTCCTAGGAAATCTTCCTCTGGCGAATGAAGCTGTGAACTGCACCTGAGGTTCCTCATGGGCTAAAATCTAAATTAAGGTTTTCCTCTTTCTTACCTACCTCTTATTATACTCACCTGTTTGCCACCTCTGTTTTGTCTTTTGGTCTAAATTGCAAGCGTTTCTTTATTTTGTTTTTTCCACTTTTCTTTTTTAAAGCTCCGTCTCAACAGTATTAAGAAGTTATCAACAATTGCTCTAGCACTTGGAGTAGAAAGAACTAGAACTGAACTGCTGCCATTCCTTACTGGTATGGGAATCTTTGAAGTTTTTTTTCCAAGTCTGTTTAAAGTCATTTTCCAGTAGTTTTCAAAACTTTGACTTTTTCTTAGTGTTTGTTAACCACACTGTTATTAAATACTAAACTGAGCCTAGTGCTTTCTATGCAAAAGAAGCAGGACAAAGTATATTGTAATATTGCGCCCAGGCATATTCAAACATTAACTATTTAACTAATAGGAGAGTAATTGATATGGGAATATGAATTTCTATTTCATTTGTTAAACAGATCTAGGAAGACTCTGTTGATTGAGCAGAAGGAAAGAGACCCTGTTAGGATTGTGACTTGGCCGTCTTAAAAAAAAAACAAAAACACCTGTGCCATCGAGTCAATTTCAACTCATAGCAACACTATTGGACAGATAGAGCTGCCCCACTTGGTTTCCAAGGCTGTAAATTTTTTCAGAAGCTGACTGCCACATCTTTCTCCTGAGGAGTGGCTGGTTGGGTTCGAATCACTGACCTTTCAATTAGCAGCCAAGCGTTTAACCACCGCACCACCAGGGCTCCTTACTAGCTACATATTGAGTTTTTTCTAAGTTTTGTGTGAGTGTCTAGCTCAGGGCCAGCTCTCCTTGTTGATGAGTACGCCGTTGTCTTATGCAGATACAATCTATGATGAAGATGAGGTACTATTAGCTCTTGCTGAGCAGCTGGGAAATTTCACTGGCCTTGTGGGAGGTCCTGACTTTGCCCACTGTCTGCTGGTAAGTACCCATACGCTGCTTCCACTCCTTGTAGGACTTCTGAAGTATAAATGATACATTGTTTGGCGATAGCACCATTCGAGCACTGTGTGTAGTCTGTTAGGAAATTAAGATCATGATCTTTTTATGGGGAGATAGTCATAATGTTAGCCATTGAGAGAACAAATAATGTCGGCATTCTGGACTCAATTAACCTTTTATTTTTTTCTCACTATTAATACAACTTCTTCTTTCCTTTTCTGCCTCTATAAACTTACTAGTTTAGACGTGGGGAGGAAGAGGATTTGATTTTTTTTTAAAAACGTAATTACAGTATATGCTCATTTTTTCTTTTTATTGTAAAATACACATAAACATCACGATGTTAACCATTTTAAGATGTATAAATTTGTGGTATTTAGTATATTCACAATGTTGTGTAACTCTTATCACTATCTAGTTCCAGAACATTTTCATTATCCCAAATGGAAACCTCACGCCCATTAAGAGACACCCTTCTTTCTCCTCTCCTCCCAGCCCCTGGCAACCACTAATCTACTTTCTATGAATTTGCCTATTCTGCATATTTCATATGAATGGAATCATACAATATGTGGTGTTTTGTGACTGGCTTCTCTCACGTAACATTAATATTTTCAAGGTTCGGCATATTGTAGCATGTATCAGTACTTCCTTATTATGGCTAAATAATATTGTTTTATGGATATATATGCCACATTTTGTTTCTCCATCAGTTGAACTTTTGAGTTGTTTCCAGCGTTTGACTATTGACAGTGCTGCTGTGAACGTTCATGTACCAGTTTTTATTTGAACACCTGTTTTTAATTCTTTGGGCTATATACCTAGGAGTGGAATTGCTTTGTAATTCTGTATTTGACTTTTTAAGAAACTACCAAACCATTGTCCATGATAGCTGCAACCATTTTACGTTCTCACCAGTAATGTATAAGCGTTCCACCTTCTCCATGTTTTCTCCAACACTCCTTTTTTTCTTACTTTTAAAATTATAGCCATCCTAGTGGATATGACATGGTATCTGTTGTAATTTTGATCGGTATTTTTTGGTGGTTTTTGTTTATTTTGTTCCTCTGAAATTGGAAGTCTTAATTCTCATCTAACTATGTCACTATTGGGGAAACATTAGTTTTTTTTGTCTTTAATTGTTAGTGTAAGTTTTGCTGTGAATTACTTTGTGAATTTGGTAAATTCAGTTCAATTTAGCTGACATTTTTTGAGTGCTTGCTATATCTTGCGTTGAAATTATGATGTTAATGTTAAAGGAGACTAATGTGAATGGAATGAGGTCTCTGATCTCTGCCCTTATATGTTAACGAATAACTACTGTACAGTGTTAAGTGAAGCAGTATAAGCACATACAAAGTACCCAAGTAATAGAGAGGAGAGTAGGATTAAAACGGGGTGATCCAAGGAAGGCCTCTTAGGAGATGATGCCTGAACTAGGTTTTGAAGGATGACCAAGAATTCAGCAGGTGGACAAAGTAGCGATGTGTGCTTCAGGGCTTTAAATACTGTCTCTGTGATGCCGACTCTCACAATTCTGTCTTTACCTCAGACCTTTCCATGGAATTTCAGATATACATATCTAACTGCCTATGATTTTTCTCCCTGAGTGTCAAACAGACATTTCAGATTTAATTGCCTGAAACAGAACTCATTTTACTTTCCAAAATCTGCAGCTGTTATGTTGTTGCAAGTTGCTGTCCAGTGGATTCCAACTCAGACAACCCCATGTGTACAGAGTAGAACTGCTCCATAGGGTTTTCAAGGCTGTGACCTTTTGGAAGCAGATTGCCAAGGCTTCCAAGGCACCTCTGGGTGGGTTCGAATTGCTGACCTTTCGGCTGTTAGTGGAGCACATAATCATTTACGCCACCCATGTGCTCTTTGTAACTCCTATAGTTGCTGGTGGATGCCATCGAGTCTATTCCAACTCTTAGCAACCCCATGTGACAGAGTAGATTTGCCCCATAGGGTTTTCATCGCTGTAATCTTTACAGAAGCAGGTTCCAGGTCTTTCTCCCACAGAGCTACTGGGTGGGATGAACCACCAACCTTCTGGTTAGCAACCAAGTACTTAACCTTCACACCAGCAGGGCTCTTTAGTAACTCCTGTAGGTTATACATATATTCTAAATCAGTCCACTTTCTTCCATCCATACTACTACCACCCTGGATCACCCACCATGAGACTTCCTCTACATTGTCACAATAGTTTCCTAAATAGCTTCCTTCTACTCTTGCCTCTCACCCACCCCACAGTCTCCTTCACTTAGCAGATGGATCATTCTTTGTCATTGCTGTTAGAAAATCCAAACTTTGTACCTTAATTTACAAGATCCTTCATGACCTGCCTCTCTGACCTTATACCATGCTCTTTCTTGATAAGCTCATTCCATTCACATTGGTCTTTCTATTCTTTGAATAAGCCAGGCTCATTATTGCTTTAAGGACCTTTGCCCTAGGTATTCCCTCTAATGAAATGCTCTTTTGGGCTTCCTGTGGACTTTGCTGGTCATTCACACACCCAACCTGAAATAGCCTCCCAGTCACTCCCTGTCATAATCATCCTGTTCTGTTTCACTACAGAGTGCTCACCACCTTCTAATTGTTTTCTTCTTTGATGTCTTCCTCCATTAGGATGTAAGCTCCACCTGAGCAAGGAACTTTGCCTTGTTTACTTGTGTTGTATACAGTGCCTAGAATACAACAGTCATTTATTGAAAGAGTGAGTTTCAGAGGCTTGAAAGCATGAAACAGATTACATTCCAGACTGCTAGAGTATAAAGTGTTGGGGCTGGAGTTGGCAGGCGTGGTGGTCAGGGGACAGGACAAAAAGGGTATGGAGAAGTAGGCGGAGTTCCTATCGAGAGAACAATTCTCAGGAGCTTGGTCTTATCCTGTAGTAGTGATAGAGGTTATCCAGTGAGTTGATTGCATGAAAGAAGATCGGAGTGGCCATGGGACAGATCATGAAAGGCCTTGGCAAATAAGAAACAGTATCTTTTCAAAGGGTTTCTGAAATACTAGAGAAGTTGAGTATTTTGTTGCTCATTTTCTTCCTTTGTGTATCAGATAATTTTGGAAACGTATTATTAAACTGACACGTTTCTTTCCTGTGACTCATCCTTCTGTTTCAGTCTTTCGGTCAGTTCTACAAGTGGGTCTTGTGTTTTAACTTTCACAGCTCATGGCATATGCTGAATCTACCAGGACCAAATGCAGACCCAGAAAGGCAGAGGTTCAAAGAACGAGACTGTTTTCACTTGGCCATGTTATAGTCAGTTACTGACACTAGTCTAGATTCTCAACCCGTTTAGTCTCTTCTACTCCTAAAGCTACAAGCTTTCTTTCCATCTTTGTACTCTTCCCTTGATTGCTCTATCAAAAACTCCTTTAGCTGTATATCTGGCTCATGGGGAGATTTAGATTGCAGCCTGAAAAAAGTGATTTTGTACTCAGCCTTTTATAGGCTGGATAAATTGAGGTGTAGAGCTGGTTGACGACAGTTACTTGCACCTCCAGGAATAGTAGAACTAATGCTCAAAAGGCTATGGACTCGGTGGCCTGACAAGATGACATCATGTAATTGTGGTGCCCGATGTTGGTTATATTTTTGCACTTATTCTTGAGAAAATATGCATGATCCTTTCTGTCTAAATTTGGCTACATATTTTTTAAACCTAGTAATTCAACTCACAATAATATTAATATTGTGTCAAGTCTCTTCCACTGTGTCATTTGTAGACACCATCTGGGAGTTGCCATCTGGGACATGAGATCTTGGCTGTCCTACAGAAGTCGTGTCTTCAGGTTGGGCACGCCATATGTTATCACTGTGTGAACTGAAAGTTACCATTTGGTATGATGTAGCTAACATTCTGGTTACATGTACCACCTCCCTTCAGTCACTGTAAAAGGTGGTAATCTGTATCTAACCTGGCTCAATAAGTTTTCTTCTCTGGTTTTCCTTTTTGGTTTATGTAGCCTCCTTTGGAAAGTCTAGCAACTGTGGAAGAGACTGTGGTTCGTGACAAGGCTGTGGAGTCGTTGAGGCAGATCTCCCAGGAGCATACTCCTGTTGCTCTGGAAGCTCATTTTGTACCTCTGGTGAAACGCCTAGCAGGTGGTGACTGGTTCACTTCTCGCACATCTGCATGTGGTTTGTTCAGCGTTTGCTATCCCAGGGCTTCCAATGCTGTCAAGGCAGAAATTAGACGGTAAGATATGGCCTTTTTTGTTATTTGGGGTTATTGGGAACCCATAGCCGACAGTTTTCGCAGTACCCTGTTACCAGTGAGTGGCTGATATCAAGGTAGTTTGATCAATAGCATCATTGTTTTTATCGTCCAATTGAATATACCTGTGGTTTTGTTACTTCTATGAGTACAAGCCTAATCACTGATGTTTGTAAGAGAAAACCTCTAAAATGAGCATGTGTGTATTTGTGTTGGAGGACATTTAGTCAATGGTATTTGAGTTGAAATCCCTTCTTTACTTGCTGCAGGCACTTCCGTTCTCTGTGCTCAGATGACACACCAATGGTACGACGTGCTGCTGCTTCCAAATTGGGTGAATTTGCAAAAGTTTTGGAATTAGAAAGTGTGAAAAGTGAAATTGTTCCATTGTTCACCAGTCTAGCTTCAGATGAACAGGTAAATTAACTCTTAGTGCTTAAGGTACACAGATAAGCTCCTTTCCTCAAACATTTTAGGAGTTTCTTTGGGGAATGTCTTTTATGTTTCTTTCTTAACCAGACCATGATTTTCTCTTACATTAGCAGCTGTTAAAAGGAAGAATCCCTGAGGAAGTGGGAGCCATAATTAGAAGGGAAGACCAAAGTTGCATTAAGGGGTAGCATACCTTTGGGAATTGCAGACTGTATTATAATATGAGGGAGTGAAGTTTCCTGGAATTTTTGACTTTCCAATACATAAGCACAGCATATTCAGGGAAGCTATTTGACCCTTTGCGTCATCTGTACTAGTCTGTGGAATGATTTAGCATAATCACAATTTTAAATCCAAGGATCTAGATCTCTTTTTTGTAGAATAACAATAATAACATTTAACCATAGCAAACACTTACAGTACTTAATATTTCCTAGCTTGTGTTTTGAATTGTTTACATATATTAAGTAATTGAATCCTTACAACAGCCTCATGAGTTAGATACCCCATTGTACATATTAAGGAAATGGAGGCACAGGAAGTTTAAGTAAGTTACCCAAGGTTGCATAGTTAGCGTTGGTGGAATCGGGATTTGAATCTAGGCACTTTGGCTCCACAGTTCTTGCCCTGCATGGGTAGGCTAGAATGCCTCTCCCTGTGATGGTGCATCGGAGGATCGGCTCCCGAGTTCCTGGGCTCTGGAAGGAGAGTCCTTATGGATTTCTAATTTGCCTAGTGCCTGCTCTAGAATCACTTCATGTGTACAGGACCAAGAGCATCAGGACACATACTGATGAGTCTTGTTTTCAGATTTTAAATGAAAGATGATAAATCTTACTTTCAGAATAATTTTAAAAACTTGTTTGTTAAAGTAACATACAGACAACAGCACAAAATAAATAAACAATGGATTATAATGAAGTGAACACCTTTGTAATTCATCCATGAAAGGGATAGAACTTTGCCAGCCACTACCCAGAAGCCCTCCACATGCTCCCCCCAACACAGTCCTTCCCTCCCTCATTGTCTTAAGAATAGCTGTGGTTCTGACTTTTATGACAATCACTTTCTTACTTTTCTTTGTACTATTATCCAAGCATGCACCCCTAAATGTTATACTTCAAACAGTGCTTATCCAAGAGAAATGCAAGCTATCTCTGTAATTTTTTAAATAATGTTTTGTTGTGTTTTCAGTGAAGGTTTTTATACAGCGATTTAGGTTCCTATTCAACAATTTCTGCACAGATTGTTCAATGACATTGGTTACATTCTTCACAATGCATGAACATTCCCACCTATGTAATTTTAAATTTTCTGGCCATGTTTAAAAAAGTAGAAGGAAACAGATGAAATTAATACTAATGATATATTTTATTTAAACCAATATATCCAAAATTTTATTTGACCATTTGCCACTAACCACATTTCAATAGACACGTGTTGCTAGTGGTTACCATACTAGACGGTGCAGGTTTAAAATTTCCTTCATTTGGGATTTTATTGATTATACTTCTCATGGTATAGTTTAACATTTTCTTTTGCCCTCTTTATTTCCTACAAATTGGTAGTTGAATCTAGAGAAGAGGTTTGCAAACTTTCTTTAAAGGGCCACATAGTAAATATTTTAGGCTTTGTGGGCCAGACAGTCTGTTGCAATGACTCACTGCTGCTGTTAAAGTGTAAACACATTCATAGACAGTATGGAAACTAATGGGTCTGGCAGTTTTCCAGTAACACATTATTTATAAAAAGTAGCTTTGGTCCAGATTTGGCCAGTGTTTGCCCCACCTCTGTCTAGAATCAGATTTAGATTCAATATTTTTGGGGCAATAAGACCACTTCATGGTGGTGGTATACTTTTTATCAAGAGGCAAATAACGTCTAGTCTATTTTTGTGATATTAGCAGTAGTTGATGCTCAAAAAAATATTAAGTGCTTAATTGTCAAATAGATGTATGTATGTTCTCTCTGACCACTGTTGGAAGAGTTGCCCGTTGATTATTCATTGTTTGAAAAAATATTTATTACGCACCTACTATATATCAGGTGGAAACCCTGGTGGCGTATTGGTTAAAAGCTACGACTGCTAACCAAATGGTCGGCAGTTCGAATTCACCAGGTGCTCCTTGGAAACTGTGGGACAGTTCTCTGTCCTGTAGGGTTCCCATGAGTCGGAATCGACTCGATGGCAGTGGGGTTGGTTTTTTTTCGGTTTTATATATTAGACGCTGTTGTAGTGCAGGGATAGAGTGTGAAGGCATACGGACCCTGTTCTCCTGGAATTTGCATCGTAATTGAGGAAAACAGATCATAAACAGATAAAAAAAACTATCAGGTAGGGATAAATGATATGAGGAAAATAAAGTAGGATGATATGATAGATTATAGGGCACTCCTGTAGACCAGCTGGTCAGAGAGGTTTTCAGAGGAAGTGGAGAGATCACCTGAGAACTGAAAGAAAAGTGCTAGCCGTGCACTTTCCTCGAGTGTCAGAGCTCTAGGATGAGAGGACACAGTGTAAAGGCCCTAAGGCTGGAACAGAGTGGGTGAAAGATCCTCATAAGAGATGAGATTGGAGAAGATAGGCAGGGGCCAGATGATGGAAGGCCTTTAAGTCAGGGTAAAGAGTTTGGATTTTCTTTTTTTTCCCCGCGGATGCAATGGAAATGAATTGGAAGATTTTAAGCAGGGCTGTGACATGATGTAATTTACATTTTTAATTTTAATTTTTGTTTTTATTGTAGTTTAAGTGAAAGATTACAATTCAAGTTAGTCTCTCACATAAAAATTTATACATACATTGTTATGTGACCTAATCGGTCTCCCTATGCTGTGAGAGCACACTCCTCATTCCACCTCTTGATTTCCTGTGTCCATTCAGCCAGCTCCTAACCCTCTCTGCCTTCTCATCTCACTGGACAGAATGCCCGTTTAGTCTCATGTATCTACTTGAGCTAAGAAGCATACTCTTCATGAGTATCATTTTATGTCCCACAGTCCAGTCTAATCTTTGCCTAAGGAGTTGGCCTCGGGAATTGTTTTAGTTCTGGGTTGACAGAGAGTCTGGGGGCCGTGCTTTCAGGGGTTCCTCCAGTCTCAGTCAGACCATTAAGTCTGGTCTTTTTACTAGAATGAGTTCTGCATCCCACCCTTCCCCCACTCCATCAGGGACTCTCTGTTGTGTTCCCTGTCAGGGCGGTTATTGGTGGTAGCCAGGCACCATCCAGTTCTTCTGGTTTCAGGCTGATGAAATCTCTGGTCTCTGTGGCCCTTTCTGTCTCTTGGGCTAATACTTTCCTTATGTCTTTGGTGTTCTTCATTGTCCTTTACTCCAGGTGGTTGGGACCAATTGATGCATCTTAGATGGCCGCTTGCTAGCTTTTAAGACCCTGGATGCCACTCAACCAAAGTAGGATGCAGAACATTTTCTTAATAAGCTTTGTTATGCCAGTTGTCCTAGATGTCCCCTGAAAGCATGGTCCCCAGACCCACGCCTCTGCTACTCTGTCCCTCAAAGTGTTTGATTGTATTCAGGAAACGTCTTAGCTTTGGTTTAGTCCAGTTGTGCTGACTTCCCCTGTAGAGTGTGCTGCCCTTCCCTTCACCTAAGATAATTCTTACCTGCTATTGAGTTAGCGAATAACCCTCACCCTCCCTCCCCACCCTCGTAACCATCAAAGAATGTTTTCTTCTGTGTTTAAACCTTTTCTTGAGTTCTTGTAACAGTGGTCTTATACAGTATTTGTCCTTCTGTGACTGACTAAATTCACTCAACATAATGCCCTTCAGATTCCTCCATGTTATGTTTCACGGCTTCATCGTTGTTCTTTATCATTGCATAGTATTCTATTGTGTGAATATACCATAATTTGTTTATCCATTCGTCCATTGATGGGCACCTAGGTTGTTTCCATCTTTTTGCTATTGTGAACAGTGCTGAAGTGAACATGGGTATGCAGGTATCTATTCGTGTGATGGCTCTTATTTCTCTAGGATATATTCCAAGGAGCGGGATTGCTGGATCGTATGGTACTTTTATTTCTAACTTTTTAAGGAAGTGCCAAATCAATTTCCAAAGTGGTTGTACCATTTTACATTCCCACCAACAGTGTATAAATGTTCCAGTCTCTTCACAACCTCTCCAGCATTTATTATTTTGTGTTTTTTGGATTAATGCTAGCCTTGTTGGGGGTGAGATGGTATCTCATTGTAGTTTTGATTTGCATTTCTCTAATGTCTGATGATCGTGAGCATTTCTTCATGTGTCTGTTAGCTGCCTGAATGTCTTCTTTGGTGAAGTGCCTGTTCATATCCTTTGCCCATTGGGTTATTTGTCTTTTTGTTGTTGAGGTTTTGCAGTATCTTGTAGATTTTGGAGATTAAACGCTGATCTGATTTGTCATAGCCAAGTGGACAAATATTGTATAAGACCACTATTACAAGAACTCAAGAAGAGGTTTAAACACAGAAGAAAACATTCTTTGATGGTTATGAGGGTGGGAAGGGAGGGTGAGGGTTATTCACTAACTAGATAATAGATGAGAATTATTTTAGGTGAACGGAGGGACAGCATACACTACAGGGGAAGTCAGCACAATAGGACTAAACCAAAGCTAAGAAGTTTCCTAAATACAACCAAACACTTCGAGGGACAGAGTAGCAGGGGCGGGGGCCTGGGGACCATGGTTTCAGGGGACATCTAGGTCAGTTGGTATAACAAAGTTTGTTAAGTAATTGACATTTTTAAAAGATCCTTCTGGGTGGAAACTAAATTGTGAAGGGATGAGAGTAGAAACAGGAAGACCAGTTAGGAATCTTTTGTAATAATCTAGTTAAGAGATGATAGTGGTAAACTAGGATGGTAATAGGAAGATGGAGAGAATCGGGATAAGATTTGGAGGTAGAGTCAATACAACTAATGTTGGACTGGATGAGGGGAAGAGGAATCAAAAAGATCTCTTAGATTTTTGGCTTGAGGAGCTGGGTGGATGGTGGTGTCATTGCTGAGTTGGGAAGATTCTTCAAGAAGGAGCAGCTGTAGGGGAGAAAATTAGGAGTTCTGGAAGAGAAGTAATTTAGTAAATTAATAAATGTTGATTGGCGTGTATTTCCATAGATGGTAATTGTCGCTTAATATAGCATTATTTTTGGAATTTAGAAATGTATGTATAGGTACTACCAAGAGATTAAGTCTGTCCTTTTTAGCCTGTTCATTGGATACAAGGGAGTGAGTGTGTCTTAGATAAGTTATTAATGCTATGTAATTTTTTAAATTTGTAATATTTTGAAAAGTTGAAGTCATTGTTCTCTCTCTGCATGTGTTTATGTGTGCACACTTATGTATGTATATATAATTTATGCATATCATATATTAAACATTTTTTCCTGTTTCTCATGGAGTATTTACATGTTTTCAGTTTTTATTTTTGTATGTGCAATTCCCAGATCTACAATTTGAATTCCTAATTTCTTGTTAATTTGTCTAATTGTATATTTCCGTTCACATTGACACTTGTCAGTTAACATTTGAAAAGCAGAGTTCAACCCTATAGGACAGAGTAGAACTGCCCCATAGAATTTCCAAGGAGCAGCTGGTGGATTTGAACTGCCGACTTTTGGGTTAGCAGAGATAGCTCTTAGCCACTATGCCACCAGGGTTTCCTTCATTAATCCTATCCCTTTCTAATTTTTCCTGCTATGTTTTTCTAGACATGGCTACTGCAGAGTTATTCTGTCCTTGATTTTCCACATTTAAATCCAACTGTATTTTTTTTTTTTTTTTACTCTTTATTTTGTTCTTCTTTGTATTTCTTTCCAAGTCATCATCTCTCGTGCCTAAGTTCTGCTGCCACTCAAAGCTGAGTATCCCTTTCTCTGTCTTATCCCTATTCTCTCTCTACTCTAATCTGTTATATACAACTTGTATAAGTATAGTTTTCATTTTTATCTTAATCCTTCAACTTCCTTGAAGACATCATTAAAATATTCTTTTTCACTTAATCTTTCCATTTTCATTTCATTTTTAAAAAATAAACACTTTACGCCCAACCAAGGTAATTAACCTACAGTTCACTCATAGAACAAAGTTATTTCTATCTTTATGGCTTTGACATGTCCTTCCAGGTGAAGGGAGCAGCTGTTTCAAGACATAAAGACATGAAACTGCACGGTGTGGTTGTTTCTGCAAGCACCCCATGTCGTTGTTAAGTGCTCGTTGAGTCAATTTTGACTCATAGTAACCCCAGGTGACAGAGTAGAGCTGCCCCATAGGGTTACCTAGGCTGTAATTTTTATGGGAGGAGATCACCAGGTCTTCTCTCCTGCGGAGCAGCTGGATGGGTTTGAACTGTCAGCCTTTTGGTTAGCATTCAAGCACGTAACCATTGCACCAATAGGGCTTCTTTCATGGAGTCACTGTCAGCCAGAATCAACTCGACAGCACCCAAAAACAGCAACACACCCTGTAGCTCTCAGTAAATACTGTTTGACTAACAGAAAGAAATTTTGTTCCTTTAGGACTCAGTGCGCCTCCTAGCTGTGGAAGCTTGTGTCAGTATTGCCCAGTTACTGACCCAGGACGACCTTGAAACTTTGGTGATGCCTACACTTCAACAGGCAGCAGAAGATAAATCTTGGCGAGTTCGCTATATGGTAGCTGACAAATTTTCAGAGGTAAAAGTACGAAGTACTAAAAAACAACAAAACAAAAAATCCCTCACAGATTTACTGTTGTACCAAAGTCTGATTTAATTCTTCTGAATAGGACATATTTGTGGCAAAAATATATGCTTGAAGATTACACTGTTTTGTTCCTGTTAATTATTTTGTTAGTATTCATTAAAATCTTTATAATTCTTTTATAGCTCCAGAAAGCTGTGGGTCCTAAAATCACCCTAAATGACCTCATCCCCGCCTTTCAGAACCTCCTTAAAGACTGTGAAGCTGAAGTCCGAGCAGCTGCTGCCCACAAAGTGAAAGGTTAAGGAATTCAGTTTATGTTGCAACGTTTGTCATTGATTTTGGTGCATTTTTAAAACCTCAGTGAATTTGGCATTTGTTTTTTGTTCCAGAATATGTTTTTCAAATAAATAAGAGATGAGTTCAGTGTGTAGAAATGTCATATTGTTATATAAAACTGCTCCCTTAATATTTCAAACCGAACAGCCGTTTTTGTCTGTTTCTGTTAAAAAAATGCTTTTTCAGGTTAGGTTGGTGTGATACACAATGGCACACAGACTGAAGAAAAGTGCAGTTAGAATAAGTGCCATTTTACCCCTTAGATCTTATTTGCTTAAGCATATGATTTGATTTAATTTGCAACTATTGATGAACCTGGTTAAATTTCCTCATCTGACTCCTTGTAAAATGGCCTTATGTAAACATTATTTTTCTATTTATCTCTTTTAGAACTTTGTGAGAACTTACCCATTGAAGGTAGAGAGACCATAATTATGAATCAAATTCTGCCCTATATAAAGGTAAACCTAACTTCATTCTGTTTTGTTTCACTCTGCGCCGTATGAAGATAAACCTTACCTTAGGGTTTTTTGTTTCACTTAAAGTTCCTGAGTTGAAAGGTGAACATGGGGAGAGTTTGGCAGGTAGGTTAATTGTGACATTGTTATTAATTATTAGTGTTTTATAATTATAAAATGCGTTTTGTGTTTTAGGTGGACTAAGGAAACAGTATCAATAGTGCTGTTTTTTTAAAATTCCTTGGGAGATGGTATGGAAGTTTCTGCTGTCTTGCAAAAAAGAAAGCCTTCTAATTTTTGTTTTATTTTAGGAATTAGTTTCTGATACAAATCAACATGTCAAATCTGCTCTAGCTTCTGTGATTATGGGATTGTCTACCATTTTGGGTAAAGAGAACACCATTGAACATCTTCTGCCTCTTTTTTTAGCTCAGTTAAAAGATGAGGTGAGTCTGGCTCTAAATTCTGTCGCCTTTGATAGTGATTAGTGGGTTTTGGTTTGGGGTTTCACTAAAATAGAACCCAAAACAGGGATGAAGGGAGAAAAAAATGTAACCTATTTTAAGCCAGTGACAATCCCTGTGTTTGGGTATAGGGGTTATATGCTTCCCAGAAAATGGACACAAGGACTCTATGAAGCAGTCTTAAAAATGTCTATTCATACAGTCTGCCTGATTCTTACTTTATATATACTGGTTCCTTATCTTTAAAGCTAATCTATATTTTAAAAAGTTCTTTCATTTAAGTTTAGATATAATAATATCAAAAATATTGATAACATTTATTGAGTAGTTTATGTGCCAGCCATGATCCGAAGTGCTTCACATTTTTATGTTTGTTTTTACATGTAATCCTCACAACAAACTTATGAGTTAGTTCATGTGATTATCCCTGTTTTACAGATGATGAAGCTGAGGCGCAGAGAGATAAAATAACTTACCAAGGTCTCTCAGCAGTGGCAGATCTGGAATTTGAATGCACATAAATTGATTACAGAGCCTATGCTCCGTATCATCCTGTAGACTTTCCACTGAATGTTCTGGTTTAAGATCAGTTCAGTTTAACCCTTTCAGGACCAGCGGTATATATAGCTACCACTTAACCTTTTGCACCTGTGGGGTTCATTGGGAAACTGCTATCCTACTGACAGTATGTGCTTCTGTCAGGCAGGGCCCTATATAACAGTTTGAAACGGAAAAAACAAGCGTGTGCTGCAAATTACTGTTTTTATAGGGTATTGTATGAGGTGGAGCTGAATCATTGAATTTTTGGGAGGAAAAACAAATTTTGAAAATTTTTATTTGGTATACGTATGTACCTTTGGACTCTGGGGGGGGTAGAATTTGTTTTCACAAGGGGTACATATATGTACCTCTGGACTCTGAGGGTATGATTTGTGGAATGAGACATAAAACAAAAATCATATTACCTACCAAAAATTCAGGCACACTCAGTGATTCACCATGCCCTGCGTTACTGAAAACACATAGTATCAACAAAAAAAATTAAAAGGGGGAAAAAGAATTGGGTTATGAAAGGGTTAATGCCTTGAATTATTTGTGTACCCAGTATTAAGCATTTCCTTCAAGACTGTACATTTTATTTCACTTAAGTTAATACTTTCTTATTTAAAGGAGAAAATTGAGTGAGGAGTTTGATTTTTATGTTTTCTTTTGGGGCTTGGGTACTTGCAGTGTCCTGAAGTTCGTTTGAACGTCATCTCCAATTTGGATTGTGTAAATGAAGTGATTGGAATCCGTCAGCTTTCTCAGTCTCTCCTTCCTGCCATAGTGGAGCTGGCTGAAGATGCCAAGTGGAGGGTCCGGCTGGCCATCATTGAGTATATGCCGCTGCTGGCGGGCCAGCTGGTGAGTGTGTGTATTCCATGAACTAAGGCGTGAATAGTAGCATTGGGTTGTGGAGCAGATTGTCTGTGGCAAGTAGTAGGCCCAGAGAGCTCTCATATGATTGTGTTCATTGAGAGGCATGAAAGTCTGATCTGTTCTAGTTGCCCATAGGGTGGTTTTAATTTTCGTTAGTGCATTAACCTCCAACAAAAAGGTATTATGGAAACACATACACACGCATACATATATAAATATATATATAAACATGTTTCACCTCACCGCCACCTAAAAACAAAGACATAGAATAATATAGTCAATTTCTTGCTATATACAGGATGGATTTTGTGATTTTTCATGTCTCTGTAACATAAGAAATTTTTAACAGAACAAGAGGGACTGATTTCAAGATAAGTCAGCTTTGATTTTTGCTCAAGGCAACTTCCCTATGTGTTTATGTTCTGAGCAAAATGTCCCTAGATAACACTTTTTGTACATTCTGGTTAAAGGACGTTGAGGAATTACCACGTAGAAAAGAAATACCGGAGCTTGCGATGCTAGTGTGATCAAAAACCACATAATCACGTTATCACTGTGTAGGTTTTATAATTGGTTCTCTTCTAACTGACATCATGTGGATTAAAATTTCAAAGCTGGGTTTTGTAGCCACATCCTTTCCTTTCTTTTTTAGTAGGTGCCCTAAACAGATCTAAGTTTGACATACTCTTAATTGGTAGCACTCACTACAGTGTATTGTAACTTAAAATCTAGTGGGGGACATAGACAAGTGATCTCTTTTAGGGCAGGGATTGTGTTTGTTGAATGTTTTATTTCCAGAATCTACTATAGTGCCTGGCATTAATTAGACACTGAACATTTGTTGATTGTTGAATAAATGAATACTTGAGTGGTCTTTGAGAAAGCTTATACTGATTTATTATTGTAAAGTTGTATTATTAAATCACTATTCTTAGAGCACTGCAATTTTAAGTTACATTGCTTTATTTAAAATATATAATCATTGTTCAGGAACTTTTAGGATCCAAAGAAAAACCATAACCATGTAGACCCCTGAAGGGAGGTACTAGGAAAGTATGTATCACAGCATTCACCCACATGGTGTACAAGGCACCAAGTGATACCAAAAACCAAACCAAACCCATTGCCATTGAGTCATTTCTGACTCACAGTAACCCTGTAGGACAGAGTAGAACTGTTTCATAGGGTTTCCAGGGAGCATCTGGTGGATTCAGACTGCCGACCTTTTGGTCAGCAGCCAAGCTCTTTAACCACTTTGCCACCAGGGCTCCTGTGTAACTCAGCACCAGGTGATAGATCTGTGTAAATCAGCCCCTGTAGCTAGACCCTAGCCTGTGCTGAAATGGCCACATGTTGACAGGAAGAATAGAGTTGGGAGAGCCGGGCTGGAATGGTTTCTTCCACCTGTGAGGCTACACCAGGGCCACCTCACCGGTACTCTTGCACCTGTGTTATTCTCCCTCTTCTGCTTTCTCCCATCATCCCCAAAATACTCTCTTTTTAATTAGGGACATCTCTGTTTCTTGATGTCAATTTCTTCATCCCTAGTGATTTATTATGCTAACCAAAAAGGGACAAAAAAATTGAGAATTATTGTTATTACTGATGGATATTTTCTTGGGTAATTCATTTTTACGGATAATCTAGAGATTGCTTGGCAGACTGTCCACACCACATCCTTCCTCATCTACAATATTGTGTCTGGCTCCCAGCCACCCAGTTCTCTCCCATTTCACAGGACCAGCATCATGGCACTTGTGCTTTTCTTTGTTTATAATTTCTACCCAATAAAATACATTTATGGCTTGTTTGTAAATCCCATGGTATTCCTTTTCTGGTTTCATGAATTCAGCTTGTGTGGAAACAAGTGTTTTTTAGCTTTTAGGTCAACTTGGTATAATATAAATGGATTTCTAAACTTTGGAGGTGCATATTAATAGAATATTTTGTGTCCATAGGGTGTGGAATTCTTTGATGAAAAGCTCAATTCTTTATGTATGGCCTGGCTTGTGGACCATGGTAAGTAGAAAAGTTAAAAACAGATTATTATGGAAAGCTTGTGCTTTTGCATATATTTCCTGGTTTTCATACACTCCCTTTTTAGAAAGGAATCCTGGTCTGACAAGATATTTTGTATTTTGCCTTAACATTGCAGGAGGGAGGCAGGCTTTGATTGAAGTCCAGTTAGTTTCCTCTGGACACAAGTTTGGCATTTCTACCTATCTTTTTCTATTTTATTTTCTCCATTAAGTAATAATCCCTTTATCCTGTTTCTTACTCACTCCATTGCATTATTTTCAGAATATCTGTTCCACACACACATTCACTCCTTTCTTATCCCAAGATCTTTTGCTCGATCAATTTTTTTAAAATGACTTCTTTTATTTCCAAAAAATGTAGGGGTAGGGAAGCATCATGATAAAAAGTAAGATCAATTCCCTGTGGAATTATTCTGCCTCTGAGGGAGGTGCAGCAGCTAGGTGGGCCTGTGTTTTCTCAGTGGGAGGGCCTCAGAAGGGTCCATGTTGCCATGGCAAACTGAGGTTTATCAACACTAGATCCTGGTCCCTCCTGATGGGCCAGAAGCCATCCCCAAAAGGCCTCCACCCTGAGCTTGTTCATGCCCACTTCCCTGAATCTAAATATTGGTTTTAGTGGATTAGATTTCAAATGTAGCAGCTCTGGAACCTGGTTAGCTGTCCTGCCCTTCACCATTTGGCAGCAGCTCCCCCACTGTTAGGGATTGAATTGTGTCTCCTAAAAATACGTGTTGTAAATCCTAACCTCTATGCTTATGGTTATAATTCCACTTGGGAATGGGTAGTCTTTGTTATGTTAACGAGACAGGATTAGTGTAGGATTATTTTGGGTCTCTTTTGAGATATAAAAGATTAAACAAGTGAGCAGAGCAGAGATGGGGAAAGAGAGATGCCAAGCCACATGAAGATCTCCCATGAGCAGAAGCTCAGAAGAGAAAAGGACCTTCCTCCAGAGTTGACACCCTGAATTTGAACTTCTAGCTTCCTAAACTGTGAGAAAATTTGTTAAAGCCATCTACTTGGTATTTCTGTTATCGCAGCACTAGATAAGTAAGACACCTCCCCTTCCCTCTGTTCTCACTTTCCCAACCATCAGGAGCTCTCCTTGCCTCCAGCCCCAACCTCTTCCTCCTCTCAGCTATAGCTCCTCCTCATCAGGGCCCTCACTCCCTGGCTCCTTGATGTGACTGAGCCTGGCTTAGCTCACAGGGGCCTGGGAAGGTTTGTGAGGGGCATGTGGTAAAAGGCAGATTGTCACAAGGCCAGCCCCCGTGTCACTCCCTTATCAGAGTGCATCCTGTAGTAAACGGTTAAAAAAATAAGAAGAAAGATGTAAGAGCTGGAGTCAGTGAGATACAGCATGTCCAGACTGGCAGCCCCAATATGAGGAGGTGTCTCCAACAAGTATAGACTAGGTTGGACAGGGATTGGAATTGGAATAAAAGCTTAGGTGGGAAGAAGTGGCTACTTGGCATTTTTGGAGTGACAGAGAAGGATGGGGCCCAGTAAGAGATTCTTAAGGAGTTGGAACACATCAGCTGTGACCTAGGGTAGATAGGGCCTGGATTTTTTATTTTGGTGAAAGGAAGGATACTGCTTGTACCCTCACTGCTGCTGCTAAGGGTACTAAGAGGACGAGGTAAAGGCAGGGCAGGTAGGACAGCAGGAATTAATAGGTGACTTTTTGGTGAGATCTCAGGTACGTGTATATGAGTATATCCTCTTCTCTTCCAGTCAGCAGTAGGCGAGAGAGGTTCCTTCTGTACCAGTGAGATCCAGTGCCAGGTCTCAGGTCCAGACCCAGCAGCTGCAGTGTGGTCTTAAACCTGTTCAGAAGAATTTTCTAGGGAGCTCATAATGAATTGTCCTGTGAGCTTTGGTCCCATATTTTGCTGGATTTGCTAGGCATCCTGTTCAGTTGCACAGTATCTTTATTGAGTGTTTCTCATTGTTCATCTGTGGGTGCTGATGCCTGGAGATTTGTGAGGAACAGGGATGTTTGTGTCTGCTTATACATACAGGTGGTTTTGTTAAAGGCATGTTTGTATCATGTAGGAGGTCATGTGGGTAAGAGTGAAGAGGAGGAATGTGAGAAAATCTGAAAGTCTGCAGGGACATATATGTGAATATTTCAGCGTTTTCAGACTGGATTGTGAAGACTTCTTTCTTTTTTTCCCTTCTCTTCTGAAGTTACGTTTTTATGGCCTAATTTTTTTTTTTCCTTATAAAACATAATTTAAGTTTGGCAAATCATAGGAAAGAAATTCCTCTCTTTTTATAAAATAAGTGTTCATATTGTTTATAATAAATATTTGATGTTGTTGGGAATGGCACATCCAGGCAGATTATTCAGTACTCCCTTTGAAAGCTGGCATTCTATTGTAAGACAATCTTTTATTTGGAGGAACTTGTAAGGTCCTAAAACTCTACAGAGAATTAAGTTCCTGACACCCTTTCTGTGTTGGATTGCTCTGTCAAGTTTATTTCTTCTTCCTGTTTCCTCTGAGCTTTTCTTCTGCTTCAGGGACAGGAATGACCTTCGTTTTTCTTTCTGCAGCAGCATACAGAAGTGAGGGCTGCAAGCAGTGCATCAGGGAAATGCCAGGTCTGAAATGATTTTATGTTTAATTAACCCAACTACTTTTTAGCATTTTAAATAAATTTTGTATAGTGATAACTGATAAATTAGATTTTTTCAAACTTTTTTTTTTCAGATTTTTAAACTACTAAAAGAATATTGTGAAAAATCTGTAAAAATATAAGGAAAAAAGTATCACCTATATTCCCACAGTTGAGTGTGTAATATTGATCAGAGTGAGGAATTTAAAAGGGGAATTTATTTTATATAGGAGAAAGGAAAAAGTACCAACATTAATGAGCACGTACAGAGTGAGTTGGATATTCAGAGAAATCTTGCAGTTTAGCCAGACTTTGGGGGCAGGGGAAAGAAAGACAAAACAAGGAGAGAAAATAGGCAGAACTGTGGAGTGGTTTGCATTATTTTGACAACAAAATTAAGAGACACCAAGAACATAGTAGGTGTCTGTCCAAGTAGAGTTCAGTACAGTTAGTGTCTCAGTCAAGTCTGAATGTGCGTGTGCTCCGTCTCTCGTTACACTGGCAGTGGGGTCTCATCCTCTGGTGATGGCATTATGATGAGAAAAATCTTATGAAAATGGAAAAACAGTAATTAGGGAGACACAGATGGTCTAAGTAGTTCCACCTTAGAGGGAGGAGACAGGGAGGGGCTTGTGCCAAAGACAAAAACTGTGGACAGAAAGGGAAAGAATTTGCACAAGGGGTAAAACAGTTAACTTGAGCATGCTCCTTGAAGAGTGCTTCTGGGTATCACCGACAAGTTGGCTTCTCCCGTAGACTTTGATCAGGTTAAGTGCTGGTAATAAATCATATAATTCCTCGTCCATGCTGTTTTGCCTGTTGTCCTCATCAACATCATTGCCTGGAACGATCTACGGACTAGGGAAAGTTGGATGTTCCCTGTCCAAGGGGCTTCTGTAGGTTTTCTGGGATTGGGGCAGCGTGGACAGTCTGGCATGGATAGCTATTCCTGCTTTTGTTTTCACTCAGGAGGGTTGAGCTCTCCTCACACGACAAGTAGAATAGGAAGTTGGTTCTCACCACCCTAGATTTGTTATCTAAGCCCAACTCTTCAGTTTTATTGGATCTATGAAATGAAGTGACGTCAAGCCTGTCTTTGTTCAGTGCTGTATACAGCACTTTAATAGCTAGATTTATGGTATCTTTGATAAATGTTTTTGTAGGAAATTATTTGTTGTTAAGGCAGGCATATTTATTCACAGAAGATATTTGACATGTCTCAACTTAAACATTTTTGTTGGAAAGGGGCAAGTTGGTCTGAAGTTTTTATTTGCTGTTGTACAGATGACTACCGTGGCCCTTACAGGATCTCCTTTCTTCCCTCACCTGCTCTCTTTGCTGCGGCTGGAATAATCTTGCTAAAATACCACACTGGTCATCAGGTCACAACTTTGCTTTAAAAACCCAGCATTGTTTGTTTTCTGAAGTCCAAATTGCGTTTTCAAGATGCTCTGTGTTCTAGGTCCACTCTGCCTGTCCAGCCTTATAGGCTCGCAGATCATACTTTTTTCCTTTGTGTCCTTGTACATTTTTTTGCCCTTTCCAGAATTCTTGTCTCTTTCTGCTTACACAAACCCTACCTAATCTTCAAGGCCTGGTTCAAGGCCTGTCTCTTGAGATTTTCCTAGGCCTACCCTTTTCACGTATCTCTAAATTCCTACAGCCCTCATAGTCCTTCCTACACAATTTAATACTTATAGTCATTCTTGTATCATGTGACTTCTTGGGGTATGTTAGCTCTTACTTCTTTGATAGAGTGTAAGATTTTTGAGGGAAGGTATCTTATATATTCTTTCTGAAACACATAGCGCATAGAAGGCTCTTGGATGTTTATTAATTAATGGTTATGCATATAAGGAAGGAGCCCTGGTGGTGCAGTAGTTAAGCTCAGCTGCTAACCGAAGAGTCGATGGTTTGAACTCACCAGCTGCTCTGCGAGAGAAAGATGTGGCAGTCTGCTCCTGTAAAGATTAGAGCCTTGGAAACCCTGTGTCCTATAGGGTTGCTGAGTTGGAATTGACTTGACTGCAACTGTTTGGTTTTTAGTTTTTTATGTCTGTTTTCCTTATACATATTATGTTTTGAAACTACAATAAGACCAGATCAGTATATTATGGGACATAGCTGAGCATGTTTGCCATGCCATATGATTAAATTAGGAGTCTGTTTGCAGAGAGGTTTTGTTATTGATCTACATTGATGATAATTGTAAGTAAAATAAAAAAACCTGTTGCTGTCCAGTCAATTCTGACTCATAGCGACCCTATAGTACGGATTAGAACTGCCCCATAGGGCTTCCAGGGAGTGGCTGGTATATTCGAACTGCTGACCTTTTGATTAGCAGCCAAGCTCTTAACGACTGTGCCTCCAGAGCTCCAAGTAAAATAGGGTATGCTTATAGTATAAACTGATGCTTATAACATAAACTACATGAGAATGTATTCTTCACCTCTTTTTCAGTATATGCTATTCGAGAAGCTGCCACAAACAACCTCATGAAACTAGTTCAGAAGTTTGGTACAGAGTGGGCCCAAAATACCATTGTCCCCAAAGTGTTAGTGATGGCAAATGATCCTAATTACTTGCATAGAATGACCACTTTATTCTGCATTAATGTAAGTATTACCTAGATGTTACCGCTAATCCCTGGCATTACAGCAGTTATTCAGGACTGAATGTCTGAATTCTGAATATCCTATCTTATATTTGGAATATATTTCTTATATATTAGAAGGTGGGAGAAAATGTCAGTTTTAAAATTCATGTTAAAATCTACAGCAGTGTTTTAAAAGTTGCAATCCAGTTGTGAATTCTGGTCAAATTCTCTTAACTCTTTGAGTGCTACCTCTGTCCTCATTCAGGTGCTCAAACTAGAAACATTTTCCTGTTGGTTAAGGACTTTCTTATGAAATATTATTTTGTCTTATTAGATTTTGGATTTCTTTTTTAATGAAAGAGTTTTGAATGAGCCATCCTTTTTATTTTTCTAGGCACTGTCTGAAGCCTGTGGTCAGGAAATAACCACGAAGCAAATGCTGCCCATCGTATTAAAAATGGCAGGAGACCAAGTAGCAAACGTTCGTTTCAATGTGGCCAAATCCCTACAGAAAATTGGACCAATTCTAGATACTGAGTAAGATTTTGGTGTTTTTCTTGTTTTGTTTTGTTTTTTAAATTTAATTGTGCTATAAGTGAAAGTTTACAGTGCAAATTAGTTTCTCATTCAAAAATTTATACACAGATTGTTTTGTGACATTGGTTACTATCCCTGCATTGTGTCAGCACTCTCCCCCTTTCCACCCAAGGTTCCCTGTGTCCATTTGTCCAGTTTTCCTGTCCCTTCCTGCCTTCTCATCTTTGCTTTTGGGCAGGTGTTGCCCATTTGGTCTCCTATACTTGTCAATCTAAGAAGCACATTCCTCACATGTGTTATTGTTAGTTTTACAGGCCTGTCTAATCTTTGGCTGAAAGGTGAACTTCGGGAGTGGCTTCAGTTCTGAATTAGTAGGGTGTCTGGGGGCCATAATCTTGGGGTATTATTCTTGTTTTAAAAGTAGATTTTAAATTTACCTTATAGTGGGGAGTAACAGCTAAAATTAAGGTCAGTGGTTTTCATTTTACCTAATATCTGGGTTTATTTAAAGAAAATAACAGAGTAATTTAACAACCATTTTTGAGGGTATCTGTTCTTTTATACTTAAGCTGTGTATATGTGTAGATTATTGTCTGAAGCTAATTCTACCGTGAACTTCTTTAGAAATTATTTGGTATTTGTCAAGTTTAAACTGTAAGTGTTTTAAATGATTTTTTTTTATTTTAAACTTTAAAAATTACCTTAGCCTACATAGCACCAAAGCTCATTTCTCCAGCCCAGAAGCCTGCCTTTCACAGATAATACTGTTGAATTTCAGTGCTTTGCAGGGTGAAGTTAAGCCGGTACTACAAAAGTTAGGCCAAGATGAAGACATAGATGTCAAATATTTCGCACAGGAAGCTATAAGTGGTATGTATTTCTGTTTTCTGCCTTGTAGCTTATGCTTTGGTTAACAGGGTTTCATTTCTCTCTTGCCTGAGGGATGTTCCATTGGCGAGGTTGTAAACATTCTATGGGGGGTAGGAAGGGTGGTGAGTTTCATGGAATGTTGGTGCCCTTCTGGTGAGGACCTTCCTGGCCCATCATTCACTCATAAGTGAGCAGGCCATTTTCTCAGTTCACTATCTAGGGCTGGGTAAGAATATGATTCTTAGAGGTAAGAACAGTTTTGTTCTAGTTTGGATTTCAACCAATTTTTAAAGTTTTAACTTGTGATTAGCCTGGCAGAGTAATGACACTGACCACAGTGAGAAGTGTATAGTCTCATGCTTCGGATCATTGCTACTGTTCTTAATATTCACATAGTTCATCAGCTTTCTGTACCACTAACCTGATTTTGTTTGGAATTTTCCAGTTCTTGCGTTGGCATAATGAGGAACAGGAGGGAAAAGACTTTACTAAAATTGTTATCACAGATTTCTAGTCAATATGTTCCTAAGCTGGGTGGAGAAAAATGGAAAACCTTCAAGATCTTATCTAAGCAAATGCAGCAACTTACAAGAAATCAAATTTCAGTGACTTGATTCTTCCCAAAGATGAAATGGAATTGTTTTTTACTCGTCTTCTTTGTTGGGATAATTATTTGAGTCGTTCTTATTGTTTCTGACCAATTCCTGACTTTCAGTACAGTCTTCTCTTGATTGTCTCCTACTGATTATCTGTGACTATCTGGGCTCCTGCATCTTCACTGTCTAATCAGGCCCTGGTCACCTAATATTCCAGACAAAGCCTGGATAGGTTTGGACCCAGACCTGGAGTGGAGTGGAGTATCTTGATGTTTACATTTATCCATTTGTTTCTCATCATTCCAGTGTTGAATATACATGGCTTAGAATAACTTATTTTATGAACTCTCCATTTGGGAGACATACTGAGATTTGACTGTAGTGAAAGCCACGTTTTCCTGGACAATGAGGGTCCGCATCAGTGTCTCACAGGAAAGGGGAATGTGGACGCTTAGGGTTAGTATTGGTTAGTTCTGACTGTAATCATGTCATTCAGAGACCTGAAGTGTGGACACATCTTGCTGCTAACATGTGATGTTGAAACCTGACCAAATTTCAATGGCTCACCACTTCTGACTGCATTTAAAAACACTTCTCTCTCTCTTCTGAGAAATTTTACGTTGAGTGCCTCCTGATAAGCAGTGGTTCTGTTTCATTGTGAGATTTCAGCTTTGATTTCTAATGAGTAAAGGAACCACTGGTATAATACTGTGTAGATCTCCTGTTCTTTCCCTGGTTCTGCTTCAGCAGTGGTAACATCTGGTCACTGCTACATTGTATAGTAGCTTTCCAAACTGAAGTTTCATTACTGTTTTTTTTTTTATATGGGTGATGCCGAAGTCTTCATCATTTGAAATATTTGTTTTTCTGCTTTTACAGTAAAACCTCATTAATTCTTCTTGGAATCTAAGATGGGTTAAGCTGAAGGGTTTGCTGAAGCAAATTATTAATATGTAAGGAAGCTTATTTTAAAGCTCTGTTTAAAAAGCACCCATTTACTAGTTGATATTCCAATTACCAGTCATCCTTTTCAGTTCTGCTAAAATATCTTCCATGAGGAGCTCTATGAAACCACCTCTCCCCCCCTTTTTTTAGATGCATTCAGTTTACTGTTTATCCTTTAAATACATATGTGTGCATTTCATGGATAATTTAAATATTTCTTTCTTTTAAATTTATTTACATTTTTAACTTTTTCAAACTCACCTTGTCCCTAGTAATTTTCATTAATTAGGTTTTACTGTAGCTTCTTTTTCTCTCAGTGCAACTTGCTATGTAGTTTGCTTGTTTCCATTTTGGTTTTTGAATTGTTTATTCCTTCACAACCTTTTAAACCAGCCAGCCTTGTTCTATTTTGTGAAGTCCCAAAGACTCCTGTAAAACTTTGTACATTATACAATTACATAAAACGAAGTTTGAGTAAATATTTTCAAATTTGTCTTACCTTAGGAAAACAGAACACTTAAAATCCAAAATGACCTGCCTGTGTTTTAAACTGCCAAATTATAATAAGATTCAGTTTTACTGCTTTTTAGGTCAAGGGTTAAATATGTTTCTAAGCAAAAATCTTTTCTACTTTCTCATTGTCATATCTTAAACTTATGCTGTAAACATTTTAATTTTGTAGTTCTTTATATTTTATTACGTACGGGTTATGTTCCTCTTCACTGAATTTCATATTTGAGAGACTGTTATCTTGAGTCTTGAAACAAATTTGCACAACCATTGCGTTACTCTTTGACTGGAAGTGCCATTGGTTTGGGGAGAAATTTTTAAACTTCCTTTGTTTCCCCCCATGGGGAGCCCTGTGCATTGTCTCTGCCCTAGACTTTTAGAGGGAGAGCCAGGGAGCCCAGCAGGGCTATCCTTCTGGTGACCCCTTAGGGAATTTATTGTTAGTTTTTGACTTAAGCGATAGGGTGTCCCTTTTGTTACTCTTCAGATAAATTGTTCTTTGGCTCATAGCTTGGTCATTTTTTCAATGGGTTAGTTTTCTTATTTTGATATCACTAGAATGTAAGCTCTAGGAGCTCTTGAAGGGTGGGTATTTTTGTCTGTTTTGCCTTCTGCTGTATCACCAGCACTTAGATCAGTGTCTGGTGTACATAGTAGGTGCTCAAAAACGTTTTCAGTGAATTAATTCCTAAAATCTATTCTCTGATGTGTTTCGTGTATGGAATGAGTCATCAAAGGTACCAGACTGCATCTCCTTCTCCCACTGACACAATGAAAGGATTTTACCGCTCTTGAGAAACAAGCTGCATGTGGCGCTTCTCCAGTCCCCCATCACAGGCAACAGTTTGGATTTGTATGAAGTTCTTTTGCCTCCAACAAACATTGCCCTAGTTTTCGTTCTAGGCAGTTTACATCAGTTGTTTGACTAATAATTAATTAGTAAAGAGAATCGGAGACACATGTTCAACTTAAAGCAATATGAATACCTCATCAGCAATCACTGGAATTCTTTTTTTTTTTTTTTTCTTTTACAATTTATGTGTGTTTATCCCTCATGGCTTTAAGAGACCAGATCTTGTTTCTCTGTTGTTGGCCAAGAAGATATGAACTGAAGGTGCATCTGTTTAATAAAAATAAATACGTTAATGTTTGGTGTCTGTTGAGGCCTTATTGAAACAACGGCCAGCCCTCAGCTCGTGGAAATACCACAGCGTGGCCACTGTGGTGCAAGGCCCTGGTAAGTCTGCTGGACAGCTTGTCCTGACTCAGCATAGACAGCGGCTCAACCTTTGAGTGAGCCATCTTGTCCAAGCATCCAGGATGCTTGTAGAGACCTGCAGGGGAAACAAGTCATCCCTGACCCCGTTGTTAAGCTTCAGCAGTTCTTTCTTGCTGAAGTTTTGTTCTTGTATTAACTGCTTGTGTTGTCAGTGAGTTGCAAGTCTGGTGTTTTCATGTAAAAATCACATTGGTTCCACTTCCCCCAGGGATGGCAGGGCAGGGTGGTCAAACAAGTTGGGTGCTTTTCCTATCCTCTTACTTCCAGTGTACTTAAATCCTCTGACATTTTCCCCCCTTTTGGCACTCTCATATTAAAGCCGCCTATTTCTCCAGTTCTTGGCTATACAACTGTAGAGTGGAAAGGATTTGTCACCTTGTGTCCTCCTTGGTTTAATAGATGAATTGATTGTGGTCTGATACAATTGTTTCCCTTTGATCCTCTTGTATTCCTGATTCCATCCAGTTTCTTGCTCCTGTCTTTTCTGTTCATGCTGTATGTCTCTAGTCCTAGAATTGTCTCATTCTTCCCCATTTGCCTCCAGAAGCCCGCTGTTTCCAGGATCTTACTTAATCCTCAGTGGAGATGGAAATCTTCTCGAGGATGAAGGGAGTTTAATTACTCATTGGATGGAAAAGCCATAAGTCATTTCTTTCTCCAGAGTTGTTAAACCGATATTGTCAGTTCTGGAAGGAGCCAGGTGTCTGCTGTCTTTGGATGGGCCCGGTAGGCCACCAGTGGCCAAGACATGGGGGAGCCCCCAGCTGGGTGCCATACAGCCGAAGGGATGGCCCCCTCCAGGGCCCCTCAGAGAGGGCACCTACAGTAGAGTCCTGGGTGTGCTGGCTCTCTGCAATGGCCACTGCGCACGTAGGTTGCTGTGCTTCCCAGTGAGGTGCAGGAAGAACTGAGGGAGGGCATCCTGCTAGGAAGCACAGGTGGGCTCAGGAGGGACATGCCCTTCTGGGGCTGGTTACACACCCGCTGTCTGTGTCTCTAGTGGTGGCGCAGAGACTGAGGAAGCTAGATTTTCCTGTGAAGGACAGTGAAGAGCCCAGTGCCCCTGGGGCTGACAAGAACCACTACTTCAGACCCAGAGGGCCTGGAAAGGACACTGGGAAGGTAAGCGCCACAGAAGCCCAGGTCTGAACCCCACACTTGGGTTGAGGCAGGGGGTGAGGGCAGCCAGTGGCCTGTGCTGCAGGGCTTGCAGCAGGGTAGGCCGAGAGGCAGTAACCGCCACTCTGTCCCCAAGGAAACAGTCCGTTTTTCAGGGCCAGGAGAGGGTATTTGTCCAGCCCGTTGTCCTGTGGCACTTCATTCTGGCAGTGCTTTGAGGGGTGGCATGGGCCGTCCAGAGTTCTGTCACTTCTGTGCTCAAGGTTTATCTTCCTCTCCCCAGTATGAAGCAGGACTATGCAGTGAAGAAAGGGGTGGTTTGGTGAAGAGTTGGTTATAGAAATGGGGCTGTTTTTCCACTTAACCTCACAGAAGATGGAAGTTATTTGCCACAATTCCCCTTGGATAGTCATTTCCATTCCCAGAGAAGATAGTTTCTGTCAAGTTTACTGTGTAATAGTCTGAATGATCTACAAGCCTCATTGGATGTCAGCCTGCATGGAGAAGCTGTGTAAAAAGGTTCAAGTTCAGCAACCACAGCTGGTGCCGGCCACTGCCCTGGAGCTGTTCATCAGTTGGTGGGCAATTTCAAACATACATTCAGGAAAAGAGCTCGAGCGGCTACGAAGGGAGTGCTGGTGGTGGGCTGCATTTAGTTTATTTGGAAGAATTTGGCATTGGCACACCTACTCAGTGAACTTGGTGACGATTCTAACACCATAAAGTTCACCTTTTACATAAATCCCTGTGGCTTTTCTTCATGTGAACTGAGGCCATGAAGACGTTTTTTTCTGCTGCCCAGGCCCTCAGCTGCAGACATTCATCTTAGAATGTTCTCTCTTTCCCGCGGTGCTGTCCACTGTGGGTTTTCCAGAGATCTGCCCCAGGGCCTGATCTGCCAGGTCTCTCTGTTGCAGGCAGCTCTGAGGTCATTCCCCAAGTGGCCACGCTGTGGAGGACAAGCTAGAGCTAGCCCTGGGCCCTGACGGGCCTGAGGTTGTCAGCCCTTTGTGTTCGTACATCTCCTCCCCAAAACTTGGCCTTAGGGAAGAGACTTTTGGCTTGAAGGTGAGGGATAACTTACATGTTTTTAGGCCTAAACCACAGATTTCCTTGGGAAGAAAGGAGTTATGTTTTCCTACAAATTCAGGGCCAACTGGCCGTGTCATTAAGTGCATGGTACGTACCTGATCTGAGAGTGGAATAACTGAGGTGGCCCAGCCAGAGCAGACTTGCTCATGTTTGAAGAAGGCCCTGTGATGGCCACGCGCTGTGGAAACTGCTCACTGCCGTTCCTTGAGCTTCGGCAACTGCAGGCACCTTGTTAAGCACTTGACAAGCCTCCCATTTGATCCTCAACAGTTCCATGTGGTAGGTGCTGCTATCTCCATTTTTCATATGGCCGTCGACCTCTCCCCCAGTCCTGTCACCTCCACTTGGGAGACTCACAGGAGTGGAGGCTCAGCAGTGCTAGGCCTTGGAGGCTGCCATTCATTTAACCCAGAAAAAGCCCTTGCCCCGTGACAGGGAGCTTTCCATACTTGTGTTTTACTTAAGGAAAATGGCCTGAGGGTGAGATGGAAAGGGAATTAGCTGTTGTCAGGCAGAGCCCTGAGTGTCAGGGGCCAGCAGCCAAGTGAGTGATCCAGGAAGTTATCCAGTTGCAAACTAGAAATTATTCTTAACCCCTTACTGTCCCTGGTGCATAGTGAGCTCCTTGATCTACCCCAGTTGGGGAACGGGGTCAGAGCACATGCCTGGCTGCCGAGCCCTGGGAACTGTCCTTAGCTCTTGGCCAGACTTAGGACCCTCAGGACCCAGAGTGGTTCCTTCTGGTGAAGGCTGGGGGTCTCTTTGGTGTCCTCTGGGACAGACCCTCGAAGCCTGCAGAGCCATCTGTGCTCTTGGAGTTGCACGTGTCCCTGCAGGGCCTGCCCGGAAGTAGCATGAACTGGCTGGGTGGGCGCGGCCCCTCCTTCTCAGCAGTGCCCAGGTGGGGCATCCCTCCTGATGGTTGCAGATGACTCTCTGACGACAAAGCTGGTGGCGGGCCTCGGTCAGGCAAGGGTTAATGGGAATTTGTTTATTGAATCACAAAGTAGCTGTCACATGATTTTAATCAAAACACCATTTCCCTGACAACAGTGATGTCAGTCTTGTTATTGCAGGAAGGAGCAGCTGTGAGGGACATTCAGTCTCCTTGCTGAGCCCAGGTTTGGAGACTAAAATCAAGTGAAGCATCCATAAATAATGGGTGCAGACACCGACCTGCCAGCTCCTCTCTTCCCTTCCCACTCTGTCCGGCCAGCCTGTCCTGTACAGACACTGACCAGAGCCCAGCCCCTGCACCTGGTTGTCAGCTCAGTCACCATCTGCATCCCTCCCTCCTTCTGCCGTTCTTTCTACTTCTAGTTTTTCCTGTTGTCATTTTCTTCCCCCCAAACTCAGTCACTTGGGCCCTAAGGTCTCTGGCCTGTGCCTTCTGGCATCTGACTCTTTCCCATGCCAGCTCCACTCGCAAGTGAACTTTGGGCTGTTCCAGCTAGCCTGGGGGGCAGGGAACATTCTGCATGTCGGGAATCTTGGCTCTTCCCAGAGCCAGCTTCAGGGGGAGAGGGGGGCTGCTTATCTGCGTCCCTCCTAGGTGCTGTCCGAGGGCCTGAGACTGCTTGGTCCTACCCAGCCAGCTCTCAAGGGCAATTCCGAGGAGCTCAGCTGTGGATGCCTGAAGGGTAAGAATCCTCAGGGGCTCGCTCAACCTCTTGGCCTGGAGGTTAGTTCTTTTGAGCCCAGGAAGGCAACAGGAGCCCTGAGTCCTGTTCAGTTGAGGAGCAACTGTTTAAACACCAAAGCCCAGGGGTGCTTGATCCATCCCTGGCCCTCTTGCTGAGGGAGCTAGATCCTGAAGTCCACGCAGAGGTCAGGCGTGGCCGGTCACGGCCCGCTGAGCAGTGGCCTCCTCCAGGCACTGTCTCCACTGTGGGGCTTGGGCATTGAGCAGCGTCTCTCTTCAGAAAGACTCTGCCAGGCCCGCCAGCCCTTCTTCACCCAGAAGTGTGACCTGAAAGTTAGGGATGAAAAAGGCCTCCTCCTAGGTGCCGTGCAGATTCTCAAGTTCTTAGGTCTGTGGTAGCCACAGCAGGTGCTGCCCAGAACTCATCTCTGAAAATTAAGAAATCTTGGGGCAGAGGTCTTGGTTCTAAACCTGATCAGGTGCTCAGAGGAGGGCAGCCACCCTTAAACCTGTGAAGAGAATTCACTGGCACCAGCAGCCATTTTCTGTGTGCAGCAATGTGACAGTCGAGTTAAAGCAAGAACTGTACAGGTGAGACGCTGTGACAGGCCACCAGGGGTCTGGGGAGTGTCTTCTGGGTGCTCTCATGTTAGTGGCAGGGCCATGGGAAGCCAAGCCCCCAGGAGCTAGCAGTGCAGAAAGCTCAGAAAATGTGGGCCCAGAAGAGACAGAGAATTAGGGATTCAGCCTCTCAAAGGCAGAACTGAGTCATTCTCCTCTGAACCTCACAAGGAACCTAGGCATGAACTTAGCCAGATCTGCGCTACCCAGTTACAGTTGGGGATAACAAGCCTTTGCAACAATTCACCCAGGTTACTGGCAGAGCTGGGCTGGCGCCAGGGGCTGAGGACTCCGTCAGAGGTTCTTTGCTGCCTCCCAGGCTGTCTGCGGCACAGTGAAGATAGGCCCCACAGTGCCCAGAGGGCCTTTGTGGCCAGGGTGGCTGTTCATGGG